TTCTTCTTTGAAGTGAGGCTTTATATATGTGGGGTTTCTGAGAATGTTTGACTGATAGTTAAAAGATTTGATCTTTTTGTTTATATCTCTTTAGAATTTAAATGTGTTATTTATATGGTTTGATTTCTTGATAGTGTAATTACTTCTTATACTAAATCATTACTCTTCTGTTCAAGGTTTTAGCAGTATAGTTTCAGCCTACTTATTGTTACTATAGGATGATACCATCCATGGTTTATGTCCAAAAAATCCTAACCCTAGTTCGTTTGTTCTTTAAGTACATCATCAATTTGATCAAATACAGCTATTTTTTTTTTATTATTCTTTTATTCCTTTAGCTTTCTATTTGATAATGACATAAATTCATATTTATTTTTAATTTCCTTTTTTATTTCCTGGGTTTCCATACATTTCTTAAGCTTGAAAAGACATTTAGTTATTTACTTGCATATTTGTTTTTGTTTTTCCATTTGCTCCAGGTTGCTGGGTACATGGGTGAAGACCAATTGGGGCAAGCTCTGGAAGGATGTGATGTTGTCATCATTCCAGCTGGTGTGCCAAGGAAGCCTGGCATGACCCGTGATGATCTTTTCAACATCAATGCTGGAATTGTGAAGAACCTTTGCGCTGCTATTGCTAAATATTGCCCCAATGTCAGTATCTATGCCTTTTTCTGAGGCATAAACATTATTTATTTTTATGTTTGAAGAAATTGGTTGATGGTTCAGTTTTATAGTCTTGCATTTGACTATCATGTTAAAATGATAAAATCTATTGTACTGAATTTTGGGGGTTCTTGAGGGGATTGAGGAACTGAAAGCAAACCTCGAAATAGAGTATGGTATGGTAATAAAAAAGGTCTCCATATTCAGAAGCCCATTTTGTTTCTCGTTGTCTGCTGTAGTTGCTTTATAGGACAAGCCAATAGGAAAAGTCTACACTTCATTCTAAAGATTTATTTGGCAGATTCTGAGTTAAGCCTAAGAATTGTCTTTCAATTTTTTGTGTGCTTCAAGGCAATATTTTCTGTCCCTTTGATGAATTGAATTTATGGGAGCAGGCACTGGTTAACATGATAAGCAACCCTGTCAACTCAACAGTCCCAATTGCAGCTGAGGTTTTCAAGAAGGCAGGAACTTATGATGAGAAGAAATTGTTTGGTGTAACTACCCTTGATGTTGTTAGAGCCAAAACTTTCTATGCTGGGAAGGCTAAAGTACCTGTTGCAGGTTTGCTTCATCTTCTACTTCTATAACCAGAACCTGCAGCACCATACTCTTCTAACCCTCTTATTGCCTTGTAAAATGGTAAAGAGGAAAGAGAAAGGAAATAGAGAAAAATAATTCATTATTGGCTTTTTTTAATTTTTTTTTGGATTCTTAAAAGAAATGGAAAAATTCTTAGATGAAGCATGCTGCAAGGTTCTGGTGTTTGTTGGTTTCTTTTTTCATTGTGGATATTCTTGTTACATCAGATAGATCATGAAGTGAGAAGATCTACAGTATTTCAGAAAATTGCCTTATTAAGTTTGTTGACTTTCTTGCAGATGTTAACGTTCCCGTTGTTGGTGGTCATGCTGGCATAACCATACTCCCACTTTTTTCTCAAGTACTTCCCCTAGATCCTCTGTCTCTTCTTTAATCAAATATACTTAACTGAAACTTTGTGATGCTTGATATTGTTGTTTATATATCAAATCTTCTAAATCTTGTTATGGTTCCTTCAATCATTAATTAATACTTTCTAAATATTTTAAGGCCACTCCAAAAGCCAATTTGCCTGATGAGGATATCAAGGCTCTTACAAAGCGTACACAAGATGGAGGGACAGAAGTAGTTGAAGCAAAGGCTGGAAAGGGTTCTGCAACATTGTCAATGGCGTAAGTCGTAATTGTTGCCTTTTGACTTTCATTCTCCAATGAGACTTTACTCATCTTATCTAGTTTAAATTTTATAAAAAATTTATGTACCTTTATGGGAGATTGTTTAAAAGAAGTTGGTATTTCCATTCTTAGAAGGACCAATGGCTTACTGGCGGTCTCCTAAATCCATTTAGGGCCTATCAACTTCAGGATTTCTGATCTGTGGTGATTTCATGCAGCTATGCTGGTGCTATTTTTGCTGATGCTTGCCTAAAGGGACTGAATGGCGTTCCTGATGTTGTGGAATGTTCTTTTGTTCAATCCACTGTTACTGAACTTCCTTTCTTTGCTTCTAAGGTGATTTATCCTAGCTTATCTCAAATATTTTAAATGGCCTTATATGTTCATTTTTGTTGTTTCATTATTTGCTTCTTCTAATGTGTGAGGATTTATGATTGGTGTTCGACTTTTGATCTACTGTTTTTTGATGGAGAATTTTTTTCTACTGGTTAACCAATGATTAGAAGTTCTGATTCTGAGACTCAATTTTCATTTGCAGGTGAGGCTCGGAAAGAATGGTGTGGAAGAGGTTTTGGGATTGGGCCCTCTATCAGGCTATGAGAAGGAGGGCTTGGAAGCCCTCAAACCTGAATTGAAGTCATCAATCGAGAAGGGAATCAAATTTGCCAATCAGTTATAGCAGAAAGAGTTCATTGCATTTTGAACCAATGAAAATTTTGCATTTTTTGTCAAACTGCTGTCTCATAATGCCAGTGGCACCGGCTTTGCTGTTTGAAGTAGGGTAAGCCTTACATACCATAAGATTAATATTCAATAATTCCCAATTGCATGCCATGGGGATGTCTGTAAACTATTTAACTTGAAGGTGAGGATTTTCATTTACTTACTAGTCAAAATTTCTAAATTCTATGGTATTTTTATCCTACACCAATATTTACATAAACTGGATCTTTAAAAGGAATTGAGAAAAGAAAGCCATCTACTAAAAATTCCTCCATTCCCTTTTCCTCCATTCCTTTTTAAAAGACAATAAAGCTATGGTCACTGACCGCCAATGTGGTAGAAAGCGGAAGAAGCATTTTATAAAGCAGGAAAAGATGGTTATCAGCATGGACCATGGAGCTTCTACGGCAGGGGAACTTCTCAATCATTATGTTATTTTATTTTTTGATATATCAAATGATGATGGTAGGATATAAATTTAAAATCTTTAATATAAAGATGTAAGTTTTTAACTATTACGACGTTTCTTAATGGGTTTCAACAATTATAACTATATAATAGTTTGGTCGAAACAGAAAACTGACATGCTGTACTTTTAGTTACGTCAAAAGTAAAGTGTTGGTTGATGTAAACATATCAAAGTAAGAATCGTGAAGGCGAAGCTTCATTTTCCATGATCACGGAATAAATTCCTACTCATGATCACCTATAGAAGCCTGAAGTATAAAAGGCGGGCGAAGGATAATGTCAAGCAATACTACCTTATATGCCATCATTAAAAGGTCTAAGAAATATAAGATTATAAGTTTGTAATTGATAAGAAAGATTAAAATGTGCAAATGTTGTATATAACACGGTCTTAGTAAAACATGCAACTGAAGTTGCAAACTGAACCCTGGAAGCTTCTAAGATGCCATCAAAGCGTCCCAAATAGGCATTAAGGAGGTTTCTGGAAGCTAGAGCTGATGGACAAAGGCATGACCAACGACTCTACCCATTCTTACAAGGTCCATCCTTGGAAAAGCTAAGAAAAGTAAAGGGAAATATAATCATGAAAAGTTGCATTGTCACCCCTGCCTTATGTTTTTGTGCTTGAACCTGAAGAAATCAGTTGCTTGGCACGTCTTTTGGTTAATTGGTAAATTGCCTTCACTAGAATGAAGAACAGAGCAAAGTAAAATGTCACCATTTCAAGCAGATTGAACCTAGAAGCCTTCTTAAGCGATCACAAAATCAATGAATTGCATGTAATACACTTCACATGATGTAGAATGTGTGCTAAGAGCATCTGGATAAGCTTTAAAAAAAACCTACTATTTAATATCCCTACAAACTGCAAGTCCTGTAAGAAACAAGGGAACCAAAAAAAAAAAAAAAAAAAAGAAACACCTTGTTGCCAAGGTAGTGGCTCCTACCTCAGTCTAGTCCTTTCAAATCCCGGGTGAATGACCAACATTATCCAGAGGAACTATCACTGTCAGAGTCTGCACTGAAGTACAACAATGAAAAACATCTGATATGTGTATGTAAACCATAACATGGAACATAGAAAAAATTTAGCAATCACCACTTGATGAAGATCCAGAATCCCTGCTGGAGCCGCTTGAACTACTCGATCTACCAACGTTATTGTCTTGCCTTTCTGCTTGAACAGGAGATGATGAGGGAATAATCCTCTCAACTACTTGGCAATTGAACAAGTTTCAATAAATTAGTACATTTCAGCAAATAAATAAACAAATTATTATACAAACCCTTACCAATTAATAATCATTACCTGCTTCAGCTGCTTTTGGTGCCTCTGCAGCAAGTGGTGCTGGATTCTACCAAATAATAAGGTTAGATATTAGTCAGAAAGAGCTCAAAAAGCATAGAGTAAAATACAAATAAAAGCTGGCGTATTCATCATCTTACCATCTGCTGAATGTTGTGGTCAACTTCGGCATTGGCTTGCAGGGCAAGTTCAGTTTTTCTCTTTTGTTTGCTCAAGTTTTTCTTATAATTGGTCACAAATCTGTCTAGTTCCCACAGTGTTTCTGTGTCAAAATTGTCAATGTCCACCTCAATCTCATCTTCCTGCTTGAAAAGTGCTGGATTCCACTTCTTAATAATCTGGACAATGCTCTCCAGTTTATTTGAAGGCAAATTCTGAAGGCTTATGCTCAGTCTCTGCTTCTCCTCAAGAGTCATATCCCTCTTGTCAGGATCCTTTGCCTTGGGCTTCTTCGGTGCTGGAGTCCTACCCGAATGAGCCAACTTCATAGATCTTGTCTTGGGATCAACAGGCATCGTCATAGATTCTGATCTCTCGAAACCCTGAGTTTCTAATGGTGGTGGTGGAGGAGGAGGAGGAGGAGCATCAGAAGCTGGAGCTGAAGAAGGTGCAGAAGATCTCCTTGGATTGGGAATCGGCAAAACCATATCATGACCCATTTCATACCTCCTATTAAGATTGCACTCAGCCTCTATAGCCGCCCAGCTTTCTTCAAACATCTTCAACAATGTCTCTGCCATAAAATGCACATCCTGCCCTTTTGGGTTGTATAACATTGCATTACTAAACGATAGTTTGACATCCTCTGCAAAATTCCTGGACGATTTATAGAAGTTATTGTCCAACCTAGTCTTCACTGTACCCAAATCCATTGGATGCTTAATAATTGAATAATAATCATGCAACCCAAGCCCCTCAACATCCACTGGAGAATTAAACACCCAACCAAATTTATGCTTCATCAACCTCCCTAACAAATTACTACATCTCTTAAACAACTGACTGTTATCTGGTCCAAATCCACCTCCCATTCTATCCGCATTGTTCTTCCCTATATTTGGTTTCAACTTCTTTTTACTCTCTGTAGGCATCGGCTTTCCCTTTCCCAACACAAAATCTGAATTCTTACAATATTGATTTAACTTTGGCGTTCTCTTCTCTATATCCACAAACTCACCACCACTACCAACAAGACCAAAACCTTGATTACCATGAATGGTCAAATTTTCTGCTACTGACGCAGAAAGTCCATGATGAAGCTGTGAATTTGAGAAGTCAACAGAACCAACCCCAGAATTCACTCTAACGAAACTTCCACCCCTATCAACAATCTCATTCGGTGAAAATTGTGAACCGGTATGCTCACTGCCAAACTGAGCTTCTCTGGCTTCAAGTTTCTTCATTAAACTCCTAACCCGATCAAGCTCACTCGCTAGCTTCCTCTTTATACCTATAGCCTCACTCTTCATGATGGAATTCAAGTCAATCTTAACAAGGTTATCAAATTTAACGTACCGAGATGTCCCATTCCCATTAATGACGTCCTGTACACCAGGCTGTACCAGATTGAGACTTGACGAATCATCTGACACCAGATTATCAATGGCCTGCGGAGGATGAAAGGAGGTATTGTCATCAGTACCAGTGGTAGTAGCTAGCATTTGTTGAGAGGACTGAGGGAGACTGAGGGGATTTCTGGTTGGTTCGTTCTGGTTTTTCCTGGTATAGACCTTGCTGTTACTCTCTGCCCACCTTAGCTCCTCCATCGATTCTTCACCACCTATTGTCCCTGTCGCCATAAACTAAAACCCAGAAAGATCAAAACTTGAATCAAAATTCTCCTAACAGGGAAATACCCAGAAGCCAAGAAGCTTAGAAACAGGGTTTTACATCAGTGGAAATGAAACGGTGAGAGATTTTTAGGGTTTATGAGAGCTGTTACATACAGTGCTAGGGATTTTCAGGGGTTGGGAGAAATTAGGGTTTTTTAAAGGGAAAAAAATGGAATTTTAGATTTCCTTAAAGTTTACACAAGGGTTTTGCAGAAAGGAATTGCAGGAAGGTGAAAGGCTGAAGGATCCGTACCGTTCTCTGTTCTCAGCGAGAGAGCTACAGTGGGAAGGAGACGCAAAGAGTGTGGAACTGGAATCTGTTATTACACGCGCTTCAGCGCGAATGTGAGAATGCGGGAATCTAGGGGGCGCTGCCGTGGCGCTGGGACCCAATAGGTTTTTTTTTTTTTCACTGACATTAAAAGCATTAAAAATAAATAATAGAACAAAATTACTCTTGCAGTTACAATTACACCATGTTGGAGTTGAAACGCATACTGGGAAGAGAAAAATTCTGCTTAATTTATTGTTTTTTATATTAATTTTTTGATATTTAAAAGCCATATTAAATGTTAATTAATCTATAATTGAACTGTGTTAGATCTTATAATAGGAAGTTTTTTCAGTGCCATTTTTTCATTTATACATAAAATTTAAATACTGGAATTCAATATCTTACTTAAAAGGAATTGAATTTTTTCTACTCAAACCAACAAGTAATCGGTTTCACTTAATTTAATTATTAAAAGAATTGGAGAGAGAAGAGGGAAGAGGAGAAAAAAAAACTTTTTTTTTTAAATTTTAATTTTTAATTATTTATTTAATTTAATCTAAATTAGCATCCTTTCATTCATCTCTCTTTTCTTCATCTCTCTTTTCTTCATCTTTATTCCTTTCCATCCAAATATGGTCTTAGCTAATTGACATGGAATTACTTAGGTGCTGATGTCTTCATTGTGTGTGTGTGTTTGTGTTTTTTTTTTTTTTTCTTAATACAACATAGGATGGTCTATAATCCTCTCATTCTTCTCTAAGGGGATGTTTGGTTAGTAATTAACTTTTTTAGAAAGGTTTTTACTAAGAAAATAGTTAGTATTGTACAAAAATTTGATAAGTTTTATTAAAATTTTATTAGGTTGTTAACTTTTTTGTATATGAAAAAAATTAATATAAGAAAAGTTGATAAGAAAGTTGTCAAATATGTTTTACCAACAAAAAGTTATCAACTAAGTTCTATGGATGAAAGTTAGGGAGAAATTAATTTTTTTCAAAAAGTGTAGGATGAAAAACTTACATTTTTTTTTATCAGCAATATAATTTTTATTAATGGGAGTACAAGGGGTACTCCTACCCTTTACATACTGACAAAAAATAACATCTCAACAACAATGCACATAAAATACCTATACTTTCTTGAATTTCCTATCAAATTCCAAAAGCTTAAAATACATAGAAAAATATTTCCAGAATCTTACTTTAATAGTTGAAGGCCTCCCTTGGGCTGTTATACCATAATTCCTCTCTCAAGTCAAACCTTGATTTTGCCTTAAGCCAAGAAAGGGATCTGAATTTGATAAGATTGAGCACATCACTAGTAGATTTATCCTTGTTATTGAATATCCCCTGATTCTGTCTTAGCCATAGTGACCATACCGTAGTGAACCAAATAACTAATCAAAAGTCTCTTTGCACTCCACTTCAGACTAAACCAATGTGTTGTAGGAGATGTCCACAGCAAGTTCCATGAGCGACAACCTCAACACCCCACCAAGCATAACATGAAGACCAGACTTTCCATGACTCTTCACATGATATCAATAAGTGATCAGCATTTTCTTCATACTGTCCACAAAAAGGGCACATAGAATCTTGTCCCAATTGCAGTAGCCCTCTCTTAGCTAAATTTGCTTTCGTTGGCAATCAGTCTTGTAATGCTCTCCATGCAAATGTTGTTACTTTAAGCGACACCTGATTATTCCACACAATTTTGAAGTCAATAGCCATCCCATGCTGGTGTGTTGCATTTAGGTACCTATAAGCTGACGTCACAGTGTACATGCCTGTCTTGTCATGCTTCCAAGTCCATGTGTCTTGTTTGTCTTGTTTGAGTTCAATTCCTTTAAGTTTTGTTATCAAGTCCTGCAAAAGAAGATTTTCCCACACAAACAAATTCCTCCTCCATCTCCACTGCCATTCCCACCTACCTTCCTTCCATATTCCCATATCCGCAACCATAGCATTTTTATTCTTTGTTAACATGAATAGCCTACAACTAATATCTCTCTTTTAAAGCTCCACTACCTAACCAATTCTCATGCCAAAAAGAAGTGTCTTTCCCATTCCCCATTGTTTTTATGATCCCTTCATTCAGCCACTCCCTCCTAGTTTGGACAAGATCATCTAACCCCTGTAAGTCCTTCCACCATATAGAAGTACCTACCTTACGCTCACACCCATCCCAACCTTTTTGTCCCCTACCCCTATATAATTCCATTACAACCTTTGTCCATAGGGTGTCTTTTTCCATAAAAAATCTCCATTTCCATTTCCCTAAGAGTGCAGCATTGAACTTCTCTAGATTCTTTACTCTTAATCCACCATTCGACCTCTCAGTACATATCTTTTCCCAACTTACCCAAGCTACTTTCCTAGTTTCCCCACATCCCCCCCATAAAAAATTCCTTTGGATCTTAGAGAGAGAATGTAGTACCTTTTTTTGTGTCTTATAAATCAAGAAGAAGTATACCGGTATGCTTGATAGGACAGAATTTAAAAGGATGAGACGCCCACCAAATGATAACAATGCACACTTCCAGGTAGACAATTTTTTGTTGAGGCATTCTAGAATTGGCCTCCATGTTGTAGCTTTTCTTGGATTTGCACCCACAGGGATCCTAAGGTATCTGAATGGAATATCGCCTACTACACAGTTTAGTTTATTTGCCATAAATTGCAAGCTGTTCTCTTCCACATTAATTCCCATTAAGCAACT